GGCGCACCACACTGGTGGCTGCAAGAACGTCTCCGCAGCTGGAAGTGAATGAGATGGAAACCAAGGTGCGACGAAGGACTCCAGTACCTGATTGGCTCTTGTGCATTCCCACAAGCAAGCTACTTCTGGCCTGGAACTTCCTGGACTGTGTTGGGCCGGTCAAAGACGAGGTAAACGGGTCACCGGGTGTGGAGCAGCTAGGCATCATGGAAGCCGCAATGCGGGTGTTTTCTCCCTACGGCACCTTTTCATCTCTCCGCATTCTGCGCCCAGGAAAAGAGATCCCTACGGAGTTGAAATGCTATACTAAGAAACACCTTGAGCTGGGACGCAAAGTGTGTGCTGTGGTGGAGTATGAGTATCTGGAGGGTGTGCGCAAGGCCTACGAAGCCCTGAAGGCGGAAGAGCAGCAGCAGGGAGGAAGGGGCATTTGTGTGGTCCTGCTGGGTAGCCATGGAACTCGTAAGCCAGGATGGAGCCAAAGCCTAGTGGAGGAAGAATCTGAAGAAGGTATTGACAATGAGAATTTAAAAAAGCCAAACAGAAAGTCCAGGCGCTTCCTTTATTCTCTGGAGGATTCGGCTGTTTGCAGCTCTTCAGAGTCCGATTTTGCCCCTGCCTCGCCCCGGCCTAACCGCAGGGTCTCCCGCCCTCAGGCCCTCTACGGCAGCCCCCTCGCCATCCCGCGGATATCGACTTTCCGCTCCGACCCTTACAGGAATCCCCTTGGCAGTCCTGTAGGAAGCCCCCTCCTGCCTCGCAAGCTTTTTCCTTGCAGTCATGTGACCTCTCCTCTGGCTACCCATCCTTTCAGCAGCTCACCCACTGTAGCTGGTACATCCTCCTTCAGCAGGTACAAGGGTGAGCTCTCCCCAGATGACTTGGGCTTCAACGGCAGCCCTTGGGTCCAGAGATGTAAAAATGCCGCCCAAGTCATTCAGCCTGAGATGGGCGGCTCTGTGTCACCCAATCAGATAATGAGGTATTTAAGTGTCCTGGTTGTGTGCCAGCCTGTCGGCCCTGATGGCACCAAAGGGTTTCATAACTGCATTGGTAGAGGGAAGGTCCTGCTACCACACTGACTCCACTAAAGATGCATTATAAAGTCTCTTTCCTCACTGAGTCTGTATGAGGGCAGTGCAACAGTAGCACTTTTAATGCAACATAACTACTAGCATGTTTATCTGTCCTATTAATGAAAATGGAAAAAAAATGTCTAATTAAATATTGAAATAAAGATGAATTTGTACTCCGGTTTTCCTGAATTTAATATATTGTTTAATATTAGGATTTGAGTTATGTCCTGCATATCCACCTTTTTCCTAACAAGCCTACTGCATTATAGATTATAGGAGGTACTTCCGGTTTGGGGAAACACTGAAACCATTTCAAATCGTAAATTGTTCTACAAATAATCCGTATACAGATGACAACGTTATCAAAACGAACCCCGTTTGCACAGATCAGCAAAAACGCCTTAAAATGCTGTTATGCATTCTAGGACAGTAATTGGCAATGAAACTTTGTAAAGAAACACTTTGCAAACATGTAATATGCATCACTTTTTTTCACAAATTGATGTTTTTGTCATTTACACGCAGACAATAGCTGTATCGTTTTAAACTTTGAAACACGTTCCCAAAAATGGCATAGTCGTGTAACTGAATGGCCAAAATGCATATGTTTTCTGCTTTAGTTGGAAATGGTGTGTGTAAAGCCCGCTAAGTCTACAATATATCCCATGAATAATTTACTGTAGTGTACTAAGGGGGCATTTACACAACACCATTCTCAACAAAAAAACGGAAAACTTCATTTACACAACAACGTGCCTGAAATCACAAACTTTTGGAAACGGGTTTCGAAGTGCAAATGAAAATGATACAGTTGTCGTTTGTGTAACTACTAAAACAAGTATCATGTGTTAGGTCTATAAGTGTGTGACATCGCCAACTACTGGTCTTGCATGCATAATACAGCGCTTTTAGTTATTTTCACTGATCCATGTGAATGGGGATCATTTTGACAATGTTGTCGTCTGTACGGGAAACTTTTCAAAAAGAGGAAAAACTTTTGTTTTGTAGTGGGCTATATTGGTGTATCATTGCATCTTTGAAATTGCGTACAGATGAGAAGATTATCAAAACGATCCCTGTTCACACAGATCCACGAAAACAACTAAAAACGCTGTATTATCCATGCAGGGCCAGTAGTTGGCGATGTCACTTTGTAAAGAAACAGTAAGGTTTTTTTTTTTTTTTTTTACACAGATGCTTTAAAATGTAATTGTCTCCCTTTTTCATTTCTCATTCCAATTAGCAGTGTTTACTGGAATGTTTCTATAGCATCTGTCAAAATGACAGAAATCACTTTGAAATATGATCAAGGCTCTAGTTAATGAACATTTATAAGGCAATGTATGTTACATAAGAGACATATATTACTACAGTGATATTTAACATGTCTAATATTGAAATAAGCCAGCTTTAGGGGTAATTCATGGCCTGTTGTAGTAATTGTTAGTTATTTTACACTTTAAAATTTCCTTTTAATGTTCAGTGGTTGAAGGGTGATTAAAGTAACCTCATTGTACCCAGTTTTTGAAAATGCTTATTGCATTTATACAGTGAACCTTTCGCAGGGAAGTTACTCCCATAATTCGCACAAAGCATCAGGAATAAGTACACAATTTAGATATTTAGCACTGAAGAATACAAAAATATTCATTCGTATTTTTCAGAATAAATAACTCCATTGAACAAGTAACCATGGGTCTTTTAGGCACTGCTTTACTTTATCTGTAGAGAAAAATGTTAGCAAACACACTTCTGCACAGGGCACTAGCAAGACAAATATGACATGCCCCAATACGTAAAGTTACCATGCTGCAGTTCAGAACCACATGTAACTCTTAAAGGAACACTCCACTATTTTTGAAAATAGGCTCATTTTCCAACTCCCTAGAGTTAAACAGTTGAGTTTTACCGTTTTCGAATCCATTCAGCCGATCTCCGGGTCTGGCGGTAGCACTTTTAGCTGTAGCTTAGCATAGATCATTGAATCTGATTAGACCGTTAGCATCTCGCTCAAAAATGACCAAAGAGTTTTGATATTTTTCCTATTTAAAACTTGACTCTACTGCAATGCAACTTTTCATTTTCCGTCGGTCTTAGTACACAATGTAACTACAGAAGAGTCAAGTTTTAAATAGGAAAAATATGGGAGTTGGAAAATGAGCCTATTTTCAAAAATAGTGGAGTGTTACTTTAAAACAAACACGAAAATATTGTGTAACCATCACATCTTTAACAGGACACACGCTGTACATGAATAATGCCCCATCATCGGTACACTCATTCACTACATTATGGCTCCCCTCCATCTGGATTCCACAGCTTGACTCTAAATAAATATGGCAAAATATGACAGGCTTGCATAGACTTGATTTTGCTAGGTCGAATTAAATGGTCAAGAACAACAAAATTAATTTAGTGAAAGGCCTATACCATATATATACAGTATCTCACAGAAGTGAGTACACCCCTCACATTTTGTAAATATTTTATTATATCTTTTCATGTGACAACACTGAAGAAATGACACTTTGCTACAATGTAAAGTAGTAAGTGTACAGCTTGTATAACAGTGTAAATTTGCTGTCCCCTCAAAATAACTCAACACAAGGCATTATTTTTTAATTCAGAATGAATTGAAAAAATAATAGAAAATTTTTCTAAAATATTTATTTGCTAGAAATTGCTCTGTATGAGTGCGGTCTCAATAAAATCATTTTATAAATCCTTATCCAGTTTGGAAATTTATTGGAAGGTGTGGGAACCTTGTTCAATCGTTCATTGTTTTAAGTATAGGTTGCATCAGTCATGTCATATATATATATATATATATATATATATATATATATGGACTGGCATCACATTAAAACTGAAATAACAGTGAGGACAGCTGTTTTACATGTACATGAAAATGTAACATGCTTCATATTCAGCAAACAAAAACAAGTGCTTTTACACTCTTTTTACGATCTCTCAACCATGAGCCTGTAGATGTGTAGGCAACAGCTTTAGTTTGCTTGGATTTGCTCTGTTTATCTGGTGAAGCTCTATTTTAAGTGCTAACTGTTTAATTAAGTGAGGCTCTCAGGGAACAACTTCAATGCAGAGATCATTTAATTATATACAATGCACCTTAAATTACAGCGTACGATTGGTGTCACACTGACTGTCACTAACAGCAGGCTTGAGCTTCAGCGCCTCGCTCAACAGCACAATCTCAAAAACTCCTGTTTTGTGGATTACTCCCATGATTGACTTCTGAGTTTCCAGCACAAAACTTTAAATATGAAGTAACTTCAGTGGAGGAAAACACTTTCACGGTTGTTCAGGAACGTTCTACGTTAGCATTAGTTAAGGCAACAGCTAACATGAAATATCAATGAACAATATTTTTTACAGCATTTATTAATGTTCATTTCAAATAGTATAAATTAACATGAAAAATAGTATATTTGTAAATAAACATGATATTAATGCTGTAAAAACAATGTTCCTTTTTCCTTATTTTACCGAATGCATTAAACCTAATTGTAAAGTATTATTTTTCAAATAAAAATGTGTCCAAAAGAACTCACGTGTGTAAAGGGATAGTTCACCCAACCCAAAATTTAAAAGACATATTTCAGCCGTTTAAATTTTTTTTTTTTTTTTTTAAAGCCCCCAACGTTAGGGCTTGATTGATTTCCTGTATGTATTGTGTTTCTGAGGAAAAAGTACACACATTAGATATTTAGCACTGAAGAATAACAAAATAATTTATTAGAATTTTTCTGAATAAATAATTCCATCGAACAAGCAACCATGAGTCTTTTAGGCACTGTTTTACTTTGTAACAACAAAATGTAACAATTAAAATTCACTTATATTCCACATATGTATGACTTTCCTTCTGTGGAACACAAAATATGTCTCAGTTTTTTTTTCATCCATTGGATCCAAACATTGTTCAAAGTGTCCGCTGTGTTATACAGAAGGAAGTAATAGAGGTTTGGAACCCTGTCAGGACATGAGGCTGAGTAAAAGACAAGATTTAAAATGTGGGGTAAACCATTTCTTTAAATATGCTTTCCAGCATAGATATGCAAAATATTGTGTTGCATTTTAATATGGGAGTTTGAGGCCAAGGGTCATTTGTACATTGTCAATGACTGCTGAAATTGTTCACCGAGAGGCATCAACAAAACAGCAAGCATGCAACATCAGAGTATATTGCATCTCCAAAACATTTTCCCAGATGCTCTTTGTAAAACAGGACTGGATAAAAAAAACAGCAGGTGGACTGCCTGTAACAGGTAATTTCAATGTAAACTTTAAAAACATTCTTCTCTAATATTCATGTCATGCAATAAATCCATAAGGTATAAACAGCTGAGAAAAATATCACAGCATATGCAAATTTAAAGTTAAAAAGGGATGAATAAAACAAGTTAACAACCAAAATAAAACAACTATCTTAAACTGAACCTAAAAAAACGCCTGTTCCATTCAGTAATGAGAAGAACTGAAGCGGTCTGAGGGACAAATCTATAAGATATGTGGCATACTTGCATCAATTTGCACATTGATTTAACCAGAATTGACCAGGCATTCTCTCTTTACAGTAGAATCCCATTCACACTCCATTAACCCGCATTATGATACAATGGATATTTTAACCAGACATCGAATCAATTGTAACTATCAAAGCACACAGGCTGCTAAACCTGAGATGAGGAGCAGTTGAATTGAGACTCTCATACTGTGGTCCCAAACACAACCCCATCTAATTCCTGATCGTCAGAGTCGTCCTCGCTGAGGGAGAAGTCTTTGTGGTTGGAGAGGCGGCTGGGGCTGCAGTTGGACTCTCCGTCCGTGAAAGAGCTGTTGGTCGTGGGCTTCCCCGTTCTCTCTGCCTCGGCCATCTGGGCCAGCATGCTGTCCAGTAATGGACGGCTTTTGCAAATGCTGTCCAGCAACTGACATCGGTGTTGTAACTGTGCGATTAGAGAATCTTTTTCTTTAAACGTTTGGTTGAGTTTATGGATGGATTCCTCTGATTGACAAAGCTTCTCGTGGAGGAAGAAAATTTCTCTACATGAAAAACAGAGAAAAATGTCCTTTTCAGCAAATTACCTTATTAATTAAAGAATCAGAACAGAGCGGTTCAGTCATAACATTAATTTGTAGGCCAATCTGGACGGCTAATTCACCCTCAGGAAATTGCAAATAATGTTTTAGAGTGGCAGTTGCCGATTTATTAAAGGGATCATTCACCACAAAATGAAAATTCTGTCTTCATTTATTCCAAACCTGTACGAGTTTCCTTCTTCTGTCAAACATAGAAAAGATCATTTGAAAATTGTTGGTAACCAAACAGTTGCTGATCTCCATTGACATATTATGGAAAATTCATTCATACCGATTTGGAACAACATGAGGGTGAGTAAATGACAACATTTTCATTTTTGGGTGAACTGTCCCTTTAAATTCTCTGGTTAATATTACTTGAAGAGATTTTCATGTTTTGTTCTGCAAAATAAACTATACAGCCATATCTCAAATATGAACATTGAAGCTGATGCGTTTTTTGTTTTAAAACAGTTGCTATATCAGGACTATAACGGCGGTTTGATATGTCTATTAAGTAAACTTCCTGTAAACTTCAAGTATTAAGTAAAATTCATGTCTTTTTAAAATTAATGTTTGAGGTATGACTGAAAAATTCAGCACGCTAAAGTTTCCAATTCTAACCACAGACCTTGTCACATCTTTAAAAAAAAAATAATAATAATAACATAGCAAACCCATGGAACCAAAAAACAATGTCAAAGGAATTGTTCATCAAAAATGAAAATTTGCTGAAAATGTACTCACCCTCAGGCCATTCAAGATGTAGATGAGATTATCGGAACAGATTTTTGAGAAATGTAGAATTACATCGCTCACTCATCAATGGATCCTCTGCAGTGAATGGGTGCCGTCAGAATGAGAGTCCAAACAGCTGATTAAAAACATCAACATCATTAAGTCCATCATTAAGATGTTTTTAACTTTAAACTGTCGCTTCAGGCTAACATACGAGTCCATAATCCATAATAACGCTTCCTCCAGGTGAAAAAGTCATCTCGTCTGAATCAAGAGAGAATTATCCACAAATCAAGCACCATTTACAAGTGAAAAACTGTCCAAAACAGTTCTAAACAAATATGTCAGTGAAATTTGATGAGAGAGGACAACAGGGGATGGACTGTTTCACTGGAGGAAGCATTATTATGGACTCGTATTATAGCCTGAAGTGACAGTTTGAAGTCAAAAACATCTTAATGATGGGTTTGTTTCTTACAAACATGCAGCTTTTTACTTCACAAGATGTTAATATATGGACTGGAGTCGCATGGATTATTTGTGGATTATTGTGATGTTTTTATCAGCTGTTTGGACTCTCATTCTGACGGCACCCATTCACTGCAGAGGATCCATTGGTGAGCAAGTGATGTAATACAAAATTTTTCCAAATCTGTTTGGATGAAAAAACAAACTCATTTACATCTTGGATGGCCTGGTGGTAATAACATTTTAATTTTTGAGGTGAACTGTTCCTTTAATTCTTTCCTGCATTTTAGGACTACAAACTAAACAGCTTTTATGCACTAACTCGATCCGAGCAGCTGGGTCCTTAGCCATCTTCAAGTAACGGCTAAAGACACATCTCTTCCATCTACACTCGACCCTCTAACACTAGCACTCTATTTTATTTCTATTCTACCTACTTTTCTTTTTATTTATTAAAAAAACTTGAACCTCTAACACTAGCGTTCTCTATTCTTTTTCAATTTTATCTACTTGTTTTCTATTAATTATTATTAAACTTTTTTTTTTTTATATCTATTGTCCTAATAGAAAGTCGCTTCGGATAAAAGCGTCTGCTAAATGACTAAATGGAAGTTTAACTGTTACCAAACAAGTTTCCTCAATCACTTCACCCATCTGGCATTTCTCGCACATACAAAAGAGCAACAATATGTAGGCCTAAGTGCTGTGACAAGTCCCGGTTAGTCTAATGCAGTACACGTAACAAGTTATTTATAATAATAAAAAGAAAACAAGCCCCGCCCCCTCACAACATTAGCAGCTCTTGTTCTGATTGGTTAACGGCGGTCTGTTTTGCTTTTTAAACAGTCAAGAGCTGTCATAGTGACGGGAGTGGTTTCTAGACCACCGTGATATCTGTTAGGTATCTGCTACATTTTACTTCAGGGATATTTTTTTATGCAAAAGTCGCCTACAGCAGCTTAATTGAGCTTTCTGATTTAGCAAACGCATGGTTTTGATGTCAGGTAATAAAATATTAGGCATCTACAGAAGGACACGATTGTGTTACAGCAGTAAATATATTCTTTCCCTTACTTGTCCTTGGCCTCCGTGATTTCTTGCGTGGCAGCTCTCAGTTGCTCATCTTTGCGGATGAGACTCTCGGCCTGCTCCCGCACGGTTTTCTCCGCTTCCTCCAGCCTCTGCTCCAGGTCTGTGACCCGCCTGTGCAGCGCTGCCAGGTGCGCGTTCGCCTCTCTGATCTGCACCGGCGACGGGGACGACATGTCCAGTAGGATGCGGAAGACAAAAGCACCGGTCCGGTAAGCTCTCGCTCTCATCCACGATAACGCCGCGCTGCTGGGCCGATCATCTTGTGTGGGTCGTGTCGGATGAGTCCAGAAGGAGTGATGCTGAACTCGCTCTCAATCTCAGCATGCGTGATGCTACAGCTGCAGTCTTCTTCTTCAGTGAACCTTCGCGACTGTAATGCAGTAACAGTCGGCAGTGCGCGCTTAAATGCAGCGCGGAGGTTTATGACATTGTGCTTTATAAGCAGGTGTCGCAGTTTGTGCTTGTTTTCCAGCCAGCTGACGTGTCATCTGCGCCAACTTCTTAGCAACCTGTAGCTGCTGACCCGGAAATTATATTTAGAGCCACTGGCCAATCAGGATAGCCGAAACAGAGAAACCGCAGTGATTACAAACTGCACTTTCCTCCAAACAAACTGGGATGCTTCTTTTGGGCCTGTACATTTATTAAAATATTTTGTCCAGACGATCGCCCTTTATTTATTTGTTTGTTTGTTTGTTTGGTTGGTTTTTTGTTTGTTTGTTTGTAATGTAGCTACTGATATCCTAACTCACGTTTTATAATATACCCGTTTCATTTTGTAAAACATTTTTTTAAAAAAGAAAAAAAAAGTCCATTGCTGAATATTTTATTAGGCTACTTTTACATAGGCTATCACTTGTCTCATCAAAATAAAAACAAGTCTTTAATGGGGTAGTTAGTTTTAGGTTCTTTTACTTTTTTTTTCAGGGTGAATCTTTCAGAAAACTTTATAAGTTGTTACAGATAAATGGCAAAATGAAGCCAGCAAGTTGAACTTGTTTGTGCTTAGGTAATATCTGTATTTACACATATATGCTTTCTGTCATGTCAAGAGATTGTGGCAGTGTTATTTTATTGTCACTGAGAGATACTATTATAGTTTTTATTATTATTATAATATATATAATAATTTATTATTATTATTATATTTTTATAATAATAATAATTAATACATCACAATCATAATCATTTATCATTATTATTATTATTATTATATTTTATTTTTTTACTTTTTATTTTTAATTTAATTTAATTTAATTAATTATAATTATTATTATTTTTTTGTGGTTATAATTTTAGTTAACTTTAATATATAACTTTAGTGTTTTCCACACCATGGCAATGGTGTGAACAAGACTAGATCCACAACAGAATTAGAAGACAGAGGTCAAGAAGAAACTCTCGTGATAAATATATACAGCAGAATTAGTTGCAATAATGATTGCATTACAATGGGCAGAAGATGTTAGACCAGATAGAGTTGTATGTTCAGTCTCTATGGCAGCAGTTAACAGTATTGTATCAAATCAGACCATTAGAGAAGGCATTTCAAATTATATATATATATATATATATATATATGTTTAGCCCTAGTTCCTGTGTTTTCCGTGTTCCTTGTTTTCTTGCCTTGCCTTGTTTTTTGACCCTGGACTGTTATCTTGTTTCAGATTTTTTTATGCCTGCCCTGACCATTGCTTGTTTCTTGGATTACTCTTTTGTCTGCCCTGGATTATACCTGTTTGCTGCTGTTTGACCCTGCCTGTTTTGACCACTCTTGCAATAAAGCCTGCATTTGGATCCTCAACTGCATTGTCACGTCCCCATGTTACAGAATATTGAGCCAAACCCGGACCCAGCAGCTTTATCGAGAGCTCCTCCCGAGGTGGCGGTTTGTGCCGCAGAACCTCCCGAAGCGGCGGTGTCCGCTCCAGCTCCTCCAGTGATAGCAGTTTCTGCTGCAGAACCTCCAGAGGCAGCGGCGTCCACTTTGAACTCTCTGCGAGTCCAGCCACGGCCAAAGAGGCCACTGTAAACCCTCTGATGGTCCTGTCACGGCCATAGAGGCTGTCTGTGAACTCTCTGCCTGTCCAGCCATGGCCAAGGAGGCCAATGAACTCTCTGCTTGTCCTATTACGGCCGCAGAGGCCGTTGTTAACCTCTCTATGCTCTCTATTCCAGTCCAGCCTGATCCGCCGTGGTGGTTCCCTGCTCCATCAGCTCCACCGTGGGTATCTTCGGTCCCGTCTACTCTGCTGTGGTGGTCATCTGCTCCGCCGTGGGGATCTTCGGTCCCATCTGCTCTGCTGTGGTGGTCGTCTGCTCCGCCGTGGGTATCTTCGGTCCCGTCTACTCTGCTGTGGTGGTCATCTGCTCCGCCGTGGGTATCTTCGGTCCAGTCTGCTCTGCTGTGGTGGTCGTCTGCTCCGCCGTAGGTATCTTCGGTCCCATCTACTCTGCTGTGGTGGTCATCTGCTCCGCCGTGGAGATCTTCGGTCCCATCTGCTCTTCTGTGGTGGTCGTCTGCTCCGCCGTGGGGATCTTCAGTCCTGTCTGCTCTGCCCAGGTCGTCTTCTGCCGGCTCCGCCCTGGCACTCTGCTCTGCTTTTGCTTCCAGCTCCACCTGCTCTGCCCTGGTACCCTGCTCCACCAGCTCTGCCTCAGTCTCCAGGTCTTCCACCACTGCATGGACCTGGCCCTCCATCCCTCCCCCTGAATTAAACTAATTTGTCCGTGTTTCACTCTATCTTGAATCCCGCTCGCGGAAAGCGCTTTAGAAACAGTGTCTCTTCTGCGGCTCAGTACACATTGAACTAATTTTTTTTAGTCTCGAGCAAGACTGTACGACTTTCACATTACATGATTTGACTGATTTTTACGTAGAAAGGGCGACAGCGCACCACATTAAAAGAAATGATCATTCGTGTTTTCATAAACACTGGCCAAATTCAAAAACAACTAAAATTACATCATCTTTGAGAGCAAGGGCACCCCTTGGTGTTTCGGGGGCCCTACGCAGCTTGCGTATTTTGCATATAGGGAGGATCGGCTCTGTCCAAAGCACACAGCAAAATTGAGTACACAGTGGCTGAAGGAGAAAAAGGTGAATGTCTTGCATGGCCTAGTCAGAGCCCAGACTTAAACCCCATTGAAAATCTGTGGAATTACTTGAAGACTGCAGTCCACAAATGGCCACCATCAAATTTAACTGAACTTGAGCAGTTCTGCAAAGAAGAGTGGGCAAATATGGTAAAGTCTAGATGTTCAAAGTTAGTAGAGACAGAGACATATCCCAAGAGACTAAAGGAGGCTGGAATTTTAAGCAAAAGGTGGTTCAACAAAATACTGACACAAGGGGTGATGTTAAATTTAGCTGGATACCAGCTCAAGAATCAATGGAAATGAAATAGCAGATCAGTATGCAAAAAAAAAAAAAAGGATATAAGACTGTAAGTCTATAGGTATATAAGTTCCATTAGGAATAGGAGAAATGAAATCAATTATTAAATCAAAATTTCAAAAAGAGTACGTAGCATAAAAACTGGGGTATCGCTGATACAGGAAGATTTTATCATAAAATTACTTCATCAGTCAAAGGAATATACAATTTTGGAAGATGTAGGAAAGAAGATGGGATTTTAACAAGATTACAAATTAGACACACAGGACTAAATGCATCACTATACATAGTTAAGCATAATACAGGTCAATATGCCTTTTGTGGGGTAATTGTAGTTGAACATGTAGGAAATGTAGAGAGAATCAAAATGATAGAGAACTTTAAAGGTAACAGAAAAAAAACATAGATGGGAACACACAAGCTGTTCCCATCAAAATGCAGCAATGTGTCAACCCGAAATAAAAGACGAAGTGTAACTATCACCCATGTAAGAAAATAAACGGTAGGTGGCGGAATACGCCAACATTCCAAAGAAGAAGAAGAAGAACTCTCGCGATAATACAGTCGCGTCCTTGATGCAGAAATGGGCTACTGGGATCTAGAAGAGGGCAAAGACTGCGTTGCTAAAACATGGATCACCACAAAAGTAGCCACTGCCATCGGTTAGTCTGCTGGATATCTGGACTGCAGGGTTTCTAACGGATCCTTTGAGCGTAGTTTTAAAAATGTGCATTGCTTATGCGCTCTACAGGCTAAGCCGTTAGCAGGCACAGTAAACAACATATCAGCGCACTATTTTCATCATTGTCTTGTTTTCATGTTTTTTTAAACTTTATATCCGTCTGTTTGTTTGTTAGTTGGTTTATTTCACTATAAAGTGCTCTGGGATCAGCGTGTATTGGTTTTTGATTGCAAAATGACATCCAGGGCTGCTATCACTTTCCAATTATTTATTTGTTTCATGCCTAACGTTACTGATATTTTTGTGTGGTTGTCATAATGACTAGTGAACTAGAAAAGTGGTTATGGAGATGTCACTAGGCATGGCCTGCTTTATAAAGCCAAGCTTTAATACTGCTGCTGTTGTTGTTCTGCAGGGCTGGTAGGTTCTGCCTACCACATTGTGGCATATCCACCTGAAACCGCTGTGGAGGCTTTGACCAGAGCAACATCAGGCACTGCCACCATGGGTAAGACAAAATAAAACGGAAAAATAAGAATTGAGATGATCCATTTTGGTGTCTGCATCAAATTGAATGTACAAAAGTGATTTTATATACATAAAGCATAAATGCAATTAAAGTGTCTGCTTTAATGTTTTAAATAACTTTTGTGAAAATAAAATGTCCAAATATGTGGGTGTCTTCTGTAAATCATGGTGAAAGTGTATGAAAGTGTATTCTATTAATTATTCACATTATTATATTTCTTATATAAGAAATGGGTGGGATTAGTGTGCTTAAATGTTGTGAAATTAATTTTACAATGCTACAAACACACACACACATACATACATACATACATATATATGATGCTAAAAGTTTTCTGAATTTCCTTTCTCCCATTTCCTATTATACATTTTGTGGTTATATATACACATGGGACTTTTTGCCAACTGAATGCTGTGAATTAAGTCATGCTACTATTCTCACATAACGTTTTTTCGCCTATTATATAGTAGGGAAGTGTGCGATTTGGGATGCAGCCTTTGTGATTCAGCTTTAGCCTTAAGTGCACCTTCACCTTTATCGTACAGAGTTGAATAGAAGTTAAAATAGTGTCTTTACAGTTGCTTGTATTGGCCTTGTTGTTACATGTCATCAGGTATATCAGATGGCAACACACACTTGCTTCAGTAATTTATTCTTGTTTGCTACCTTTTCAGCTGCCATGGGCGCCATCTTTGGAATGGCCACTTGTCTAAGCGCACAGGCCAGAGATGCACCTGACGACCCAACCAACTATTTCATTGGTGGATGTGCTTCGGGTATTTTCCTCGGGGCTCGAAGTAAGTACAATAATCACATGTTTTTCATAATTATTCAAGATCATTGGTGTCTTTTTTTGTTTTTAAAGAACAGTCTAAAGAGGTTTGCTGGTGTTTTTTTATATTTAGCACACAGTGCTATCACAGGTACCACAGCCTGTTTTGGTCTGGGAACTTTGGCTATGTTCACCAAGATTGGAAAAAAGGAAGGCTG